TATTCGGTTAGAGGAAGTGTGTAAGAGAATGCAATGAAGTAATCAAGATTGGAACACAAGAGCAACTTGCCGATCTATTCACCAAAGCACTACCAGTATCAGTATTTGTCAAACATTTTAGAAACATGGGAATTTCTGGTAAGCTAGATGTTGAATGAACTAATGGAAATGAGGTTGATGACAACATCAAATATCTATGGGCAACATCATCAAGACAAAGTAAGTTCATGTACATCTACTGTTTCATAATAAAGTTTCTGCAAATTTGTTCACTTATGAAATGTTTTCTTTTCTATGCTTAAAGTATAGAATATTAGGACATTAAGGATATGTTTCTTTTAGGTATTTGATCAGGTGTGAAACATAGGTTGCTGCAATAAAGTGATTCATGTGATTATTTTACTTTCATTGTGATTTTAAAATATGGATGTTTTTTATTAATTCATCAACATATCTTTTAATCCAATATTAGTGATTTAATTAACAGAATTTTGAATCAAGTTCTATTTTGTTCCAGTGCACACTCAAGTATATTGTATCATCTTGTCTTCGAATTCTGAACATTATCAAGTTCAGTGGGAGATTGTTAGATCACCTTAAGGACTTTCAATGTTCATATGATGATTCCAAAGTACATATATGATCGATATAGGAATACGTCATGAGAACTTTGTATAAATGATCAATCTTTATGAGGCCAATTATGTTATATATATATATATATATATAAGCATTAATGCAGCAAATAAAAGGGCATAAAGGGATGATAGTTACATGACAGTTATTTAAATAGAAACAACTGTCATAACACACATTATAAATACAAAGATTTTTTCCCTGCTGAGTACGTAATCAATCACATATTAAGTCCCATTTGCTTTTGGTGATTCTCAAGGCATACTCAGGAGAAGACAAAAGGATGGAATCCACTACAAACATATCTTCATGTAAGTTCTACTCGTATGAACACAATCTCACACACATACTTTGAATTCAATAAGAGACAGGTATCATGATTTAGATAATAGAGTCTAACATTGACATCTCTTTAGTTTGTAAACAGGTTATCTCAATACATGCACAGACCTATTGAAGATCCTTGGGTTGCTCTCAAGCGGCTACTACGCTATTTTGCAAGTAGAAGTACACAAGGTTTACTACTCTGTCAAGACTCACCGAATACTCTTCTTGCTTTTTCAAATGTTGATTGGGCAGGTGATAAAGATGATTACATTTATACAACTTGGTATATCGTCTACTTCGGTCATAATACTATATCTTGGAGTTCACGTAAACAAAGCACTCTTGCTCACTAAACCGAAGTCGAACCGAGTTGTTGTGATTATTGTTGAGATCCTTTAGGTCCAAAACATACTTCATAAGCTAGGACATTTACCCACAACCAAGCAAATCATCTACTGTGATAATATGGGAGCCACATATGATGCTACAAATCTGAAACTCCACTCCAAAAAGAAACATTTAACCCTTGGCTATCATTTTACTCGTGAAAACGTTCAAATTAAAACCTGTATGTATCATACATTTCAAGCAATGTGTAAGGATTGAATTTTATTGTTAAATTGTATTCGTCTTGAAAGGTTTTATAAAGTCAAATACTCTAAAATACAATTATAAAACCTTTCAAGACGAATACAATTTAACACTAAGATTCAATCCTAACATTCTCCCCCTTTGTATTCAGGCTTTGAATCTCTTTTGAACTTTGACGTTTTAAGTACTTTATGACTTCTTGAAATCTTCAAAAAAAAACAATCTTCTAACATTCTCTGCTTTATGATCTTCAGATAATCTTTTGTTGAGAAAATCTTCCAATTGTAGAACAAAACGATCTTCTTTTTTCACAATAAAGAACAATAATAACAACAATCTTCAGTAATGATCTTCAAGATATGATCTTCAAAGAATTTATTCAGATAAACATTCATTAACATTCTCCCCAAAATTAACATTCTCCCCAAAATTAACATTCTCCCCAAAATTAACATTCTCTTTATTGAGAAATCTCTTTCAGTAAACTCTTATAAAGATGATCTTCACATTCTATTTATCTCTCAATCATTGTAGCACAAGAATAATCTTCAGTCATTGCATTCACACTCCTTTGAATCTTTTGCCGATTCCTGATCTTTATATCATACTTCCCCTTATATCATTCAGAATTGATAATTTCATTCATTAAATCATACTCCCCCTTATGATGAAATGAGAATCATTAGCATCATACATCAGAATGAATGAAATTTTCAGCATATACTGTCAATTCATAAAATTATAAGCAGATCTTTTCAAATCCACTTGTATAATTTTTTCAGATTAAAAAGATTGGAAAATAACCAATTTCAACTTATGAAATTGTTTTCAATCTTATAAAAAGATTGGACTGTGAATATAATAAATATATCAGTACAACGAATGTACTTCATATATGAGACTTTTTGAGGTTCATCTGACCAGAACTTTCATTCAATCATCATATCTTATAAAAGTATGTCTATGAATGTTAAGGCAAAATAACATTTAATTTGCAAAATCTGTGTACCGTAGAAAAATAAAGCAACAAATGCTTATGTTTATGCTCAAAAAGATAAACCGTGTGGACTACACAAATTTATCTGATTCAATTTGTGATCAAAAAGACTTGAAGGGGGGGACATATATCCTTGTTTTTCAATATCAACTTTCTCCGAATGAGAAACTAATAGATTGTGAGCTGCGTACCCCAAGTGTTATTGAAACACTTATCTGTTAAGAGATAAATGAGTAGCTGGTGGGGTTGTGACAAGAATTGTCCTGGGCKTTGTCTTTTTCAATATTAGTCTCCAAAAAATCGAGAACTAATAGATTTCGTGGTATGCCCGAATTTTAGAGGTTAGAACATGATTCTTTTTATCTATTAATCCTGACACAACTCTCATCAATTCTTTTGGCTAACAACAACTACCCCTCTCAATTTCATTTTAAGCTATGCACATAAACCCATTTTGAGTTTAAGCTCACTCAGATATGGTTGTCCTCATTGGTAGGTCTGTCGGTTTTGACATTCCATAGAGGTATTTCTGTAAAGCACTCAGTCCCTCCTAAAAAACAGTATGCGCAAATGATCACAAACAATTGATCAAAATATTGTTGCTATGAAGCACAATTGATCAGATAAAAAATTGATCAAGATATGTAGCTTTTTAGCACAAACAATCAAGGAATGTTGTATCAAAATCAGATTATTCAGAATATGAAAGAAATGAATGAAGATCTGTAAGTACAAGTTTACAGATTCTGATATTCAAAGAATAATGAAATGTATATTAATCAAAGTAAAAAAAATATCGAGAAAATAACTTTGATTACAAACGAGTGTATTATCACTTAAAATGATTTTCATTTAAGAGACGTGATAATAACGATTTGAAGAATAGCTGAAACAGGTATTAGAATTATGTACGATGAGAAATTACGCAAGTAAAATCTCAGAAAATACTTGCTCAGAAAATGTACTCGTTTTTAGAAATCAATTTCAAATCCGAAAGCATTTATTAAATTTTTTCCAAAGACTCCCCCTAGAAAATAGATTTTCGTAGTATTTCATTTTAGCTCAAAATAAAATAAAAAGAATGAAACATTTTTGGCATGTGTCCTCAACTGTGTTGTTCAGAAGCCATAATCATTTAAGCATGGGTCCTAAACGGTTGTGTTTAGAAACTACATTTGAACAGATTACAAACTCCCCTGCATTTGTGCATCATAAACATGATTTTCTGATCAGCACATTAATGACACACCTGAAAAATCAAATCAAACAGATTTTGGTACCCAGACGAACTTGGGTCCTTCTTTGTTAGTATCTGGTTGAGGAATATTGTAACTGCCAAACCATCTGTATCTGTTAGATGTCTTCTTTTTAGCACTTTTAACAGGTTGATCAGATATACAATAAAATCTCTACCAGTTGTTATCATACCTATTAAAATTATTCCAACTTTTCTGATAGCTGTTGTCTCCATACCATCTGTTGTACCTTTTCTTGTTCACAAAATCAGTGGTTCTACATGTGGAGCACATGATTATTCTCTTGCTAAGATTGATTAGATCATTAGTGGATCTCACAATACAAGGAAGAATAGGGTTAGTAACAACAGAGTTATGAGACAAAACAGAATCAGCTTTATTAACCCTAACATTTTTAACTTTTGAATGATAATTGGGTGATCGAATGACATACCCTTGATAATACTGATTTGAAGAATGAGAGTTGTTCTTAAAAACAGTTGATTTAGGGATGTTTGTATAACTGTTAGATTTAACACTAGAACAGTCATAAAAGTTGGTTTTACACTGAGATGGAGAACCAGTTGAGCTTTTAGCACATGAAAAGTCTTCTACTTTCTTTAATAATTGGTCTCATTCAACAGCAACTAAATCATACTTCTTTTTAAGTTCAGTTCTCATGTTCAATTCAGTTTCAAGTTCTGTCTTTAGATCAGATAATTTCTTTGAAGTATCTAGAAGTTTACCTTCTAACTCCTTTTTCAACTTCTTAAACATTTTCCTTTCTTTCTCAAACTTATGTCTCTCTTCATCTGAGCTGCTCTTTTCATTCTCAGAAGCAATGTCGAGCCACTTCTTCTTTTCTACAAGCTCTTTGGTAATTGCTGCATATTTCTTAGCAGTGTTTCTCTTTTCAAGAGCAATCAGTTTCTTTTCTTCTTCCAGTGCTTTCTGCTTTTGAACAATTCAGTCAGATAATTCAAGATTTTTGCTCAGACATTCTTCTTTAATCTCTTTCTTCTTTTTATCGACCTTGGCTCGTTCCAAGATGATAAGCTGCTCAAAATCAGAAATTTGCTTTAAAAGCATTTTGGCATTTAGCTCCAGAGAGTTAATCTTATTCTGAAAAGATTTTCGTTCAGAATCAAATCTTTTCTCAACTTCAATAATCCTTTTCTTTTCTTTCTCCAAAACTTTCCTCTCAACAATCAAACTGTTCTCAGCTTCCAAAACCTTTTCTTTCTCTTGTTCCAGTAATTTCTTTCCATCAATCAATTCACTCTCAGATTTACGAAGTTTCTTTGTGAGCTCTTCAACTTCTTTATGATTGTTTCCTTGAGAGTTCCTCTCAGCATGCAGTTCAGATTCAGCTTTACGAAGTTTAATGACTAAATCTTGTTTTATCTTGTTAGAACTCCTTATTTCATCCTCTAACTCTTTCCTTTCAGCATCCAAAGTTTTCTCAAGTTTGCTAATTCAAAACTTGGAATCATTTTCAATTTGTTCTATATCTCCCTTTGTAAATCTTGAACAAGTTCCTCATTCGCATGATTTTCATAAAAAAAATTAGATATTTATTTTTATACTCATTCACTCTCTTTTCCAATTCACAAAGCTTTTCATCAGTCAAATCCCTCTTTTCAGCTTCATGTAATTTCACAGTTAGTCCTTCAACTGTTTGTTCAATATTACACTTTCCTGCAGAAGCATTATTCATAAATTCATTCAACTTTTCTTGCAAAACCTTCTTCTCTTCCTCCTTTCTTTCATTATAATCAGTTAAACATATAGTCCAAGAACTGTTCTTGTCAAGCTCTAAAGTCAGTTTATCATATTTCTCTTTAAGTCCCCTATATTCTCTCTCGTAAAAAGCTATCATTTAAAAAATTTAACGATTGTCAGAAGAATCTATGAAGTATTGAAATCAGACATAGAAATCACAATCTAAAGATCTTACTCAGATAAAATCAGTATACGCGAAAAATTCTCAGAAAATCTCAAAAGTTGTTCAGATATGAGAAAATCAGTGAAAACAGTCAAAAAAAACAGTCAAACTGTTAAAAACAGTCAAAAACTGTTAAAACTGTTCAAAACAGTTCACATTATGAAACAGTTCAAAACAGTTCAAAATCAGTTAAAACTGCTCAAATCTCAAAAAGTTGGTGAAACCAGATAAAAATAGTAAAATCCAGATAAAACCGATCAAGAATGAAACAAAATTAAATCTGGATAAAGAGGTTTTGAAAAAGTTAAAATTTGGCAAACTATGCTCAAAAATCGGATACTATGTTAAGAGAGGTAACTAAAATCAGATAACTCTTGAAAAAAACTGTTTTGGCCAAGAAAGATTCAAATCCGGACAGAGATGTGTCCGGATATGGCTGCAAACGACCAAGTCTTTAACGAGGAAATATGAATTCGGGTGAACAAGTGCATGGGAAGGCTAAATCGCGACCAAGTGGTAACCGAGGAACACCTAATCCGGACGAGCTTGTATGTGATGTAGTGCCTAAATCGGATGATCAAGCAAGCGATGAAGCCAAATCCGAGTAAGCGTGTGTCCGGAGATGACTAGTCTAGATGCGAGTAAAAATGACCAAGTGTACAACTCAGAAGCCTTGTTGACCGAGGTAGCCTTGAACCCGCCTAAGCCTTATCCGAGAAAGTTGTAAATTGCCTAATCTATGAGCGAGGATGACTGAGCCCGGGTAGAATGGTGTGCGATGAACTAGAATCCGGTCAGCCTTGTGTGAGATTTAGATGAGAGCTCGGATGAGGGGTTGAGTGATTTAGAGATGATATCGGCTAGGCTTGTGATCGATTAATATCAAATCCGGCTATAAGGGTATCCGGATTACACTTAGAAAATATCTAAGTATCACGAATCTGAATAAGCCTATGAGAGATGATTTTGAATCCGATCACTTTGAGTAATATAATGACTTGAAATATGCTATGAACGATTTAGACTCAAATTAATCCGATCAAAACACAACAAAAAACACAAAAACACAACTTTTTCACAAAAAATTTGGATTAAAATTAGACTTTTTATGAAGATTTTCAAGAACACCAAACTTTTCAAAAATCAACAAATCTTGAAAAAGAACGATCAAATCACGAAACTTTGTAAATAACAAAGATTCACAAATCAATTACGCACACAATGATCAACATTTTAACATCAAATCACCAAAAATTGAAAGATTTACGAAAAAATTTGAAGAAAAGATGAAAAACACATTAAGAACATTAGATGAATAAGATGAACATAAATAAATTTCCAGAAAAATTTCTTCAAAAGATGATTTCTTCCACTGAATTCACTGCATTCCTGCTCTGATACCAATTGTGTGTCCCACAATATGATCAATCTTCATATATCAACATGAACAATGGCAAGAACACTTGAGAAAGTCTAGAGAGAAAAAGTCAATTGATCAATTGTCAATATATTTCTCTCAAGATGTACGTATTACAATTATGCTCCCTTCTCTTCTCTCTTCTACTACAAGACAAGAGAAGACCTATTTATAGGTCAACTATAAAAGCTTTAATCAAAGTCAACAATTACTTACAAAGTCAAATACTCTAAAATACAATTATAAAACCTTTCAAGACGAATACAACTTAACACACTAAAATTCAATCCTAACACAATGATCAACTAGTTGATGTTCTTACTAAACCACTTCCTTGGTTCCATGCACTCATTTCCAATATTAATCTCACTCATCGATCGTACATCTTGTGGAGACATGACAGAGATACACCAAATCTCACCAAATCAACATCTTGACTAAACTTGATCACATCATTTTATTTACTATTGTAATCCTCTAACATCTTTGACATAGTAATTAATATTGTAATCCTCTAGCATAGTTGCTATCCTTTCTATTTTATTTTGATTCTCACATTGTATATGTATATATGTGTGTGTACGCTCTTATAAGTTGATGAAATACACAAGCTTTTCATTCAATTGATATTGCTCTCTAATATTTTATACTTTTAATAGTTTGTCATCATCAAATATCGCGAGAATGTGTTAGGACTGAAAATCAATGATAAATTGTATTCGTCTTGAAAGTTAATTTTGTCTATAATTGTAATAGACATCGTGTTTGACTTTTCTGTTATGTTTGACTTTGACTTTCAAGGGTTCAAGTTTGACCCTATGTATAGTCTAGTCTTAGTGTAAATCGAGAAGGAAGCTTATTGTAATATTCAGATACATAATAGAGAGTTTGACTAAGATTGGAGTTTTGACTTTTCCTCTCAATCTCCTTCCAAGAATTGTTTTTAATGTTCATCATTTCTGCCATGGATTATTGAAGCTAATCTGAAGATTGATCATTTGTGGACTACCAATTGGTATCAGAGCTGGTTATGCAAAGAAATCAAGAGAATAAATCAACAATTTTTGAAGAATTTTGGAGAAAAGTTTCTGAATTTTGTTTGTTATTCTTCATGTTCTTATTTTTCTTTGAATTTGATCTGAAATTTTTTAAAAATATGGCGTTTTTGTGATAAAATCTTGATCAAATTGTTCATAATTGAGTTGTAAATCTTTGTTATATACAAATTTTTATGATTTGGTCATTATTTTTCAAGTTTTGGTAAAATTTTGTGTTTTAAATTTTTTTTATGTTCCTGTAAAAGTTCTTAAAAAGTCTGAGTTTGATCTGTTTTTGCATGAAAAGTTGAGATAATTTTTGTTTTTGGTGATATTTTGATTGGTTTATGGTTCTAAATCGTTCAAGGACTTGGGATAGCATTGATCGGTGTTAAAACCCAGATCTGACAATAGAACAATTTAATAAGGAAATTCAAAAGAAATTTGTAGAATGAGAAGATGAAATAGAAATCGACGGCGCTTTCTTTATTGAATGAAAAAATTACAAACTCTCAGAAACCCTAATCGACTCTCATAAGATGTATATGAATCTATGTGTTTACAATGAATTTTCTATTTGCTCTCATACATTTTTTCTCTACCTGAAACACTACTTATATAGGCAGTAATTCATAATAATCTGAATAGGATTAGCCTTATCCAAAATAGGATTAGCCTTATCCAGAATAGGATTCTGAAGATAGTCGTCTTGAAGGACCAGAAGATAGACCAGAGGATAGATAGACCAGAGAGAGAGGCTCTGGTCCTCCAAAGGCTTTGGTCAATACAACCAGAGGCTCTGGTCAATACAACCAGAGGCTCTGATGTCTCTTACAAAGGCTCTGGTTCTGGTGTCTTCACAGAGGCTCTGGTTCGTCCATACTTGGTCGATTTAGCACAGCGGCTGGTCTTCTTCCAGACTTAGACGTTTTGGCACAACAGCATTTTCAGATGTTCCATTCTTAGCCCCGATTGTTTAATAAAACTTTTTGAGATAATTATTAGGATCAATTTGATGCTAACAATCGGATTACTATAAATTGCTCAAGTGTTTTTTTTTTTCAAGCCTTTGAGATAGATATGGTAGGTTACTTGATCTTGTTAAAGGTAAGCACTCATTGTAATTGTTCATCCATTTTCATCAACATATATAAAAGCCTCATCTCCCTTGTAGATGTCACATTGTTACTATCACGTTGTGTTATTTACTTGCTTTTCATTGCATTTATGATGTTGGTAGTGCCTTATTATTTATTTTGGAACATTTGAACACACTAGGATCCGATTAGTTTCCATAATGTTGTTGAATTTCGTAGGTACACGTTGTTTAGCTTCATTTGGGACTTGTGTTCATTAGTTGGCGGAAATATCTTGTTAATAGTGTTATTGTATTGATCATGCAAACTTAAGTATTTTAAACAACAATGCTCTTGTCTTGCAAAAGCAAATCAAAAATCGCATATACATCATCAACTAACAAAGGTAAACATCTATTACTAATTACCTAGTAAACAACTTCTTTGTCATGTGTTATGTTCCAAAATAACCAAAAATCCAACCTCTATCCACAATTGGATCTCTATAAAACATTGTCATTTCTACTTGTAGCTTGTGTTAGGGGAGTTTTAGGGGAAGCTCTAACTTTGATCAGGCTGCTTGTGACATTTAGAAGAGACCCCAACTGAGCTAAACCATCAAAAATTCTCAGATGTAAGGTTATGCAATTCATCTTGTTTCCAGACTTTTGGTTGAATGCAATCCTCCTTTGCTTTTGTAAGTCTTAAAAGTACTGGTTGATCCAAACAGAAATCATCGTTCTTGAACATCATCAAAGAAGGAAGCTGGTATTGTTGATGGAGATGATAATTCTGACACACATTTGAACTGTTGTAGATAAATCACAAAACATAATCAGATGAGGGCAACAAAAATCATGCAACTGATCATGAGAATGCTACACATACCTTATGTTGCTTGTATTTTTCTCTAACTGCCACCAAATTGCCTGCTCTTTTGCTTGATTGCAAATCATGTAACATTTGAACACATTCTTTCAAGTCAGATGGCTTATATCCAGAGAGTCGCTCCAAACCCGAATTCTGTAAATGGAATTACATGTTATAAGAATTTCAACCCTCTTATGATACCCAAAAAAATGTACATAGGTTGGCGTCCACTTACCCATGGATGTGAGCTTGGGTTGACAGTGAATCTTGAAAGAAAGATAACTGATGCAGCTACCATAGAAGGCAAAAACTTGAGGCAACCATACTCTAGCAAGCTTAACTCAGCCAAATAATAACCCAAGAATTCTAACTGCAAATTTGGCATCTATAGATTGCAAAGGATACAAAAGTAAGCACTCAAACATATAGATTGCTAAATCAATCAGGAAAAGATGGGAACTTACTTCATGGTCCTCTTGAGCAATCCTCATAAGTTTTCTGTGAATTTACAAGTAAAGAGGAGTAGGCACCAGTTAGGTAATGAACACATAATCTTGATGCAACACAAATGAAAACTAAAGTTTCTGATATATTAGATTCTCAATAGTTTCCACTCTTACCTAAGGAATGTCTTTACTGTCGGATTGCCCATTTCAAACTTGAGAGCTTTAAGAATGTCAGCTTCCATTTTCACAACCTCTTGCTTTGTGTATGTGTTATCAGTGATATCACAGAAATCTTCTGTATGTGGGGGGCTGATTTCTTCATATTTTCTGTTTACCAAAAAAGCAATATGGTTCATATTCAACAATCAAACTAGCATCACTAAAAGAAGAAACCAATCATCAAAAATCTAATACTTACGCAGCAATGAGCATCGAAGAAACACCAAGTAGTTGAAGCCTTTGCTTGTTAAGAGCATTTCCGGATAAGAATCTATCAATGTAGGAAATGGTCAGATACAAAGTGTCTGAAAGAAGCTTATACTCCTCTGCAACCTCAACCAACCAATCAACCAATACACCTCTCATGTTTTCAGTAACATCCTTCTGTACTTTCACAATGTATTCTGCCATTGGTCTTCTCTTTGCCTCCTTCTGAATTTGCAATTAGAAATTAAAAACAATCAATGCATTTCCAAAATAAATGGAAGAATTAACTACTAAAGTTGAATTAAAATCTAGACTTCGAAAAGATCTTTCATCTGGAAAATGGATCAAACTAAATGACTTCTTACTGAGTCTTGATCTAAGCATACAAGCAGCAATCAAACCCTAAATCCTTTAAGTTTTCTTTTTATTTATACATACCTTAAACTATGAATATAATATAGAAGGATTGAGAACCAAATGGACGATTATAATCAACAAACTAATATAAATATCTGGTTATTACGATCAAATCACATCAACCCCGACAATAGATTTGCGTTATGAAGTTCAAAATTGAAACACCCATTGAATCGGCACCAAAACAACACGTTTCCAATCAAGGTAAACAAAGAGTTGCGCAAAGAAACTGTAATAGGAAGATAAATCCCTAAAATTAGCAATTGAATCAATCAACCCAACTCAGTATAAATATGAACTAAAACTAAAAGGAAAACACAAAAGGGATTAAACGCTACACACCTCCATGTTATTAAGATACTCGTAAATGTCCGCAACGTAGGCTTCACACAACTGAGGGTCACTCAATTTCTCAATCTTCTCCACAATCAGTTCCTGCTTTTCCACAGCCGCCTTGACAGGCTTCTTCACCTTCTTCGATCTAAATTTCGTCTTTTGAATCTTAGCCATGTGAGATCCGATCTTATCGTTCCTCGACACCGTCGCATTGTTCGAGAGCTCACCCAACACAACTCTATTCTTCTTTGCCGGTTGCAACTGAGACTGGATTGCCTCGATAGCCCTCTTCTTCGCCATTCTCGTAACTCTCTTATTCTCCTGGTCAGCCATTGATTTGTTTTCCCACTAAGCAAACACACGATATACAGAAACAGAAGACGATAGATGAAGATGGTGAAAGTGTGTGAAAAATGGTGCGTTATAATAAGAATTGGAGATGCCGCCATTTTTACTTTGTTTCAAAAAAATTCAATTTTGGGCAAAATGGCAGGGAGGGCGAGAGCATTTTGTGAGTTGAAATTTTTTTTGAAGGACCAATTAGTAGATGACACGTGGACCGATCAGGTCATATGTTTTGGATTGATGAGGTGGCGGGTTTTAAAACTTGAAAACAAAAAACACAAATTTCAGATTGAATTGAGCGCCTTCCTTCAAATAATTCATTTGAGTTCCAAATCCTGTTTTGATTTTGGCTAAAACTTTTTGAGATTTGTTAATAAAGTATATTTAAATCACATAAAACCTTTTCTTTTTATTTTTCTATAATTACTAGTTAACAGATATAAAAAAAGTTACAATTATCTTGAAACTTTTAAGAGGTACAAGTTTTTATGTTAAATGTATAAATTTTAAAGCTTATACATTCAACAAAAAAATGTATATATTTTATTTGATAAAAACCTATTTGTACAATGTATCTATTCAAGATTTACACTCAGCTATATTATATGTGCATACAACTAGCATCGGGATGGTCAAAAAATTTAAACATGATTGACATTTTATATTATCGACTTTAGATCAAGATGCATACCGCGGCATTGCATGGATACCTTACTAGTATTTTCAACAAGACGTGATTTTTATCATATAGTCATTTTAAATTTTGACCAATATCTTGGCATAATTTGAAACACCCTTTTACTTCTCTAAGGATAATAAATGTTTATGTAAATCTCATTTTTCTAATACCTTATTTTCGAATGAGATATATATTACATTAGATGGGATTCCTTGTGATAGTTCTATATTCAAATATGATTTGGTAATATTCGTATTGATTTGTTTTTTTCATTTTGATTCATGCAATTAGTGATCTACATAAATGGTGTAACAATTATTAGTGATGTGTTTAATTGGCATGAGCCTGATGAAATTGAGATTTACAAAGTGATCATTAAGATCAAATCTTTCTAATAAGTTAGAACATCTCCAACAGTTATAGTTATATGTTAAAATAGAGATTTTGAATATGGGTGCATTTTTTTTCACGGACAGTTATATATGCTAAAAGAAAAGAAAATAGATGTGGTAGAAATCTCTAAAACTCCAAATTTAAGAGAGAAATAATGTTTAATTCTTTTTCGTCGATAAGAGACATTGAAATTAAGTGTTTATAAGATATAAATAAATTTATTGAATGTATTGAATATTTTAATAATATAGTTGATGATAGAATTACCAAAATAGAATAACTATTGCAGTTGAATGTTTTTTTAATTTAACTTTTGATATTCTACTTGAAAAATTATGACATAGTTGTGGAAGATGCTCTTAGAAGACTTAAATAGAAAATATGGTCCTCTTTTTACCATGTCACAATCTAAATAATTTTAAAATACGATAAAAAAATGCATAACATTTGGTATTGATGTAACTTTTTAGTTATTACTTAAATAATTTTAATAAATATAAAGATATAGATTATGTCTTTTTAGATATGATAAGTGTGTCTCTCAAATCTAGTTGTATGCGACTTGTATACACGCTAGTTGAACTCGTAACCTGGAGTCGTGCGTGAGTTAAGTGAGCGAGCTAGAAGTCACATGTTTGAAGGGAATTACGTTTCTACCATAGTTATCTTGATATTCCTACAATAGTTATCACGATTTTGCAAGAGGGTTTACAACGTTATTGCCTCTTGCGTCGGTCTCCTTTCGGTTGAAACAATTTTTCGTTGTTCGTCTTCGGCTACCATGTGATAAGTCAATCCCAAGCTTAGTCTCAGCCAAGGGTTCAAAATATGTGTTTTTATGATTCCAGAACTATCATCCAGTCCTATAAAAAATTCATAAACGTGCTTTTTCTCTTTCGCTTCAACCAATTTCTTTCCAACTGCACAGGTGCATTTTTTACAAGTACACTTCCATGTGAGTGAAAATAGATTAGATTTCATACCACCATCCATGCAACTTTGTGTAATAAAATTGATATCGATGCCTTCTTTGGGCATGTTGTAGTCAACATACACTTTAGTTCATATGCTAGCCCTCTATTTGCCAAATCATTCTCCCAAATCCTTCCATATCTCTTTAATGGTCTTAACATAATTTGTGTTGTTTCTTATATCCCTTTAGTCAACATACACTTTAGGCTAAAACTCGTGTTCAGTGAAAAATCAAAGAAAGTGTCATATCGTCTCCAAAGCATTAGGTTTGGCGAGTTTTCATGTGGAATTTTAATGGTTCCATGGATGAAATTAACTTAATTCTTTGTGAAGAGATAGTTTTTCATCTCATGCGGCCATTCTACGTAGATGTTATTTACATTATCATTCACATGCACTTGTCATGGATAATATGATATGTGTATGTAGTAGGTCAAGTTGGGACCAATTGATGGTAGAGAGGATCCACCTAGTAATGCTTTGTCGATAGATTTAGTCAAGGTGATGGTGGTTTGTATTTAGGGTCAATGGTTTTTTAGGGTTGAGGGATTTTCAAGATCGCTTAATCATGCTCTAATACCATGTAGTTTTGTAAGACTGTTTGAGGTTCTGTTTTATTTATTAATCTACAGGGTATAAATATACAAAGGAGTGCTACATCCAGGGGTGGATACATGTGTTTGGCATTGGGGTCCTGGCCCCCAACAAAATTAAGTCCACAAAGCTTTTTTTTTTCTTTTACTTATTATGTTTATTTGATTAGGCCCCCAATAAAATAAACATGGAGGCCCCTCACTCCCAGCCCATGATTCATTTGTCCTTCTTCCACACGCCAACGGCTTCAACAGTTCACCTTCTTAAAGACTCAGACCATCGCTTCCTGCTTGGCTGCTTCATTTTGGCCCTTCTTTGTTCCTGCACTGCGGACTACTACACATCGCTTCCAAGTTCTAAGTTCCGACTTCCACCTTTACTGCCCACTACTTTGTCTTCCCTCTTCCGCCTTTAGTTCGGCCTTCCTGCTGGCTGCTGCTTCCAGTTCCAGCTTCCTGCTTGCTTGAAGCTTGATTCCTGCAGACTGCAGTACACCGTGACCGACTGACCGTGCACTGACACTGCTTGCTTTCTGCAGCTTCATCTATTGCTACTCCAATTTGGGTAAAAACCTAAAGTTTTGATTTACATTCTTCAATTTTTAATGACTTTGATTTTGTTGTTTGCTTCATAATTGGTGATTTGGTGAATGCTTTATGCTTATGTTAGGTTAATTTTGCAATTTTGTAGACAAATAGAAAGGTTAGTTTAATTTTACAATTTTGTAGGCAAATGAAAGTGTTAGGTTAGGCAAATGGAAAAGGTAGTTTGTGACCTCAATTCTACCTAAAAATCCATCATGCTCAAATGCCATTTTAGAGGACCTTGTCAACCATGGGGTCATGCATTTCCAGAAAAAAAAAATCTGCTTCCACCACTGATCCACCACTTATATTATGCCCCCTACAATAATTTTTTTGTATTCGCCACTGGCTACATCACTTAGGAAATGATCCACAAAGATCTAATGATGTAAGGAAATGATGCTTAAGCAAAATTAAGATAACTATGGTGGAAAGGTAATTTCCTTTAATGTCACTGATCTAGTAGAGAATCTTTTGGTACGATTTGGTTGAATATTACATGTGAGTTAAGGTAACACTGGATGTTCAATGCGAGTTAAATAAAGCTCATATACTGATAAATTATGAAATCAGGTGAGTTGTGATAGACAACTTGGAGTCGCATGTCCAAGTTGCTTATTACACTTGATGATTTTTATTATATTTTAGGGTTACTTTTGCTAGTTATCCTCTCCATATCATATACAAATATTTTTCCAAACTCCAGTGATGTCTTACACCAAAAACATGTGATTTCTCTTTTGTTTCTCCATTTAAGCATTGCAGTTTCATTATTTACTATTGTATTTCTCGGTGGTCTACTTCATCCACACGGTTTCCCATTTCAAGTTTCCACGTAGTTCTCGATGTTGCCTCTATTCTCTTAACTTTGTTACTAATGCTTAAAGATTTTGCTATTATTTGTACTTCAATATAATGGTCATATTGAATAGTTGACTTTTCTACTTATTGGCTTTGAATACTTGTTTGAGCATCAAGTAAGATTTGTTGTCTAACGTCTTTACTAGAGTAAACTACAAATTTAGTCTATATGGTTCACGCTTTTTACTCATTCTAGTCCCAAAATTAAAATAAGTACAAGAATGAGACTCGTGGTTTACATTTTCGCATGCACCGAGTCTCTAACAATAATGGAATTAAGCAAATCTTTTAACTTAGGTAAATAAAGGGGTATTTTAGTCTTTTCATTTATTTTGTTTTTATCCAATCTGTCTTTTGTGTGTGTATATATATAATACACACTAACACACACATACAACGATGCCCCCACCCCACTCCACCTCACCCCATATGAAAACTTAGTCTCTGACGACTTCTATCCCCGACAACCAGGCGACCGTCCAGAGCAGTAGAAGTTCAAGGGGAATCACGGGTTGGGCGACGATTATTACATCTCGTACGTGTGGTGTTGTTATTACTCAAAAATTAAAGAGATCTATCCTTCATGTATATCTTCCTATATCATTACCAACCAACTGTAAATATATTTGGTTGCTTTTAGTCCACGTCCTAATTTTATTACTTCACTCCCTATTTTCTCATTTATCACTTTTGGATAAAAACTGACCAGACCTAACAGTTAATATTTTTTTACACGTTTTTTTAATCTTATGATAATATATGATTTTTTTTTGTTATGACATGAACTTGCTACTTGTTTGAGGATTGGGTTTAAAAATCAATTGCTTGAGCACACAAAGCTACTCTACAATTAATCAATATATAATTTTGTTTTAGTATCATGACAATATTGCTGCTACTCTGTA